TATATATAGGAAGTTTTCTGTCATTATTTTTTTTTCAAATAGGTTTTCAGTATCTTGCTCCCTCTATTCTCTGCCTGGCACCCTTATAATGCAAATGATGGTATTGTCCCAGAGGATCCTTACACTATCTTCATATTTTTTGATTCTTTTTTCTTTTTGCTCTTCTGATTGGGTGTATTTTGCTTTCTCATATTCCAAATCATTGATTTGAGTCTCAGAATCCTCTACTCTACTGTTGAATCCCTGGAAATTATCCTTTATTTCAGTTAGTGCATGCTTAATTTCTGACTGGTTCTTTTTCATGCCTTTAAAATTCTCACTAAGATCCTTGAAAATCTTACTAAGTCCCTTGAAAATCTCACTAAGGTCCTTGAGCAACCTTATAACCATTGTTTTGAACTCTGTATCTAGTAGTTTGCTTGCTTCCATTTCATTTAGTTCTTTTTCTGGAGATTTCTTCTATTTTTTTCATTTGTGACATGTTTCTTTGTCTCTGCATTTTGGCTGTTTCCCTGTGTTTGTTTCTATGTACTGGGTAGAGCTGCTATGTCTCTTGGAATTGGTAGAGTGGTCTTGTGTAGTAGGTATCCTGTAGGGCCCAGTGACTCAGCCTCTCCAATCACCTGAACTGGGCACATTAGGTGTGCCCCTGTGTGGGCTGTGTGCACAGTCTTTTTGTATTTGAGCCTTGACTGTTGGTGTCACTGGGAGAAATTAACCTCCAGGCCAATTGGCTGTGATGACCAGCTGCAACTATAGTGGAAGAGTTGCTGTGCAGGAGTTATCCTCACTGAGCAGTCTGTAGATGGCTTCCATGTGTTCCATGTGTTTGGCATGGAAGTGAGGCCAAGCTGTCCTAGGTCTTTTTTTTTTTAAGTTCTTTATTGTTGAAAGTATTACATATGTCCCCTTTCCTCCCCATTGTCCTCTTCCAGCCTACCCCCAGCTCCATACTCAGCCTTTAACACGCCCTATTGTCTGTGTCCATTGGTTATGCTTATATGCATACAAGCTTTTTTGTTGATCTCTCTCCCCCCACCCACGCCCCCTGCCTTTCCTCTGATGTTTGACAGTCTGTTTGATGATTCTATTCCTCTGGATCTTTTTTTTTTGTTCATTAGTTTATGTTGTTCATTATATTCCACAATGAGTGAGATTATCTGATACTTATATTTCTCTGACTGGCTTATTTTGATTGGCATAATGCTCTCCAGGTCCATCTATGCTGTTGTAAATGGTAAGAGTTCTTTCTTTTTTTATAGCAGCCTAGTTGTAAATTGCGCTTGCTATGAACAGAGGGGTGCGTATGTTCTTTCTGATTGGTGTTTCTGATTTCTTGGGATATATTCCTAGAAGTGGGATCACTGGGTCAAATGGGTCAAATTTTTAATTTTTTGAGGAAACTCCATACTGTTCTCCACAGTGGCTGCACCAGTCTTTATTCTCACCAGCAGTACATGAGGGCTCCTTTTCCTCCTCATCCTCACCAGCACTTGTCATTTGTCGATGATAGCCATTCTGACTGGTGTGAAGTGGTATTTTATTGTTTTGATTTGCATCTCTCAATCATTAGTGACTTTGAGCATGTTTTCATATGCTTCTTGGCCTTCTATATGTCCACTTTTAAGAAGTTTTTATTTAGGTCCTTTGCCCATTTTTTGATTGGATTGTTTATCTTCCTTTTGTTAAGTTGTCTGAGTTCCCTGTAAATGTTGGAGATTAAACCCTTATCGGATATAACCTTGGCAAATATGTTCTCCCATGCAGTGGGCTTTCTTGTTATTTTGTTGATGGTTTCTTTTGCTGTGCAGAAGCTTTTTATTTTGATGCCCATTTGTTTATTTTCTCCTTAGTTTCTATTGTCCTAGGAGATGTGTCGGTAAACATATTGCTTCAAGCTATATCTGATATTTTGCTGCCTATGGATTTTACTAAGATTTTTATGGTTTCCAATTTTACATTTAAGACTTTTTTCCATTTTGAGTTTATTTTTGTGTATGGTGTAAGTTCGTGGTCAAGTTTCATTTTTTTGCATGTATCTGTCCAATTTTCCCAGCACCATTTATTGAAGAGACTGTCTTGACCCCATTGTATGCTCTTGCCTCCTTTGTCAAATATTATTTGAGCATAAAGGTTTGGATCAATTTCTGGGTTCTCTGTTCTGTTCCTTTGGTCTATATGCTTGTTCTTGTGCTAGTACCAGGCTGTTTTGAGCACAGTGGCTTTGTGATATAACGTTGTGATAAAACTTGATGTACAGTATTGTGATCCTTCCAAATTTGTTCTTTTTTTTTTTTCAAGATTGTTGCAACTATTTTTTTTGTTTTGTTTTTTATTCCATATAAATTTTTGGAGAGTTTGTTCTAGGTCTGTGAAATATACCATTGGTATTTTAATAGGGATTGCATTGAATTTTTAGATTATTTTGGCTAGTATGGACATTTTCATGATGTTGATTCTACCGATCCATGAACACAATATATTCTTCCACATGTTTATATCTCCCTCTACCTCTTTTTTCAACAACCTGTAGTTTGCTTAATAATGCTTATTTCAAGTACAGGTCTTTTATCTGTAGGTTTTTCATATAAGGCTTTTATTATGTTGAGGTATGATCCCTCTATTCCCACTTTGATGAGAGTTTTGATGAAGAAAGGGTGCCTTTTATTGATAGGTATGGGGCAGGCTGATGCCAGCTGCTGCTTGTTTGAGAGATTTTAGGAATCTCTGAAACCTGAGCCAGAACAGGCCATTCATATAGAAAAACCACTGAAAACAGCTTGGGTGGGGCTGTAAATTGGATGGGGCAGGGTCTCATGGATCACCAGGGCAGATCAAACAGTGAGAGACAGGCTGATAGAAATTTAGATATGGCTGCCAGTTATCTCTGCTATGGGGTGGGGGTGTCTCAGCATAGGAACAATGTCCCCCTGTGAGCACCTGTGTCTGGGAGAAGGCTGCCCCAAGTTCTTGCTCCAATGACAGACACTTCAGCTCCTTCCTATATGTCCTTGGATCTCCCTGAGCCATTGCCCCAGCATTGGAGTTTAGAGGGACGAGTCCATGTAAGTTTGTGTGCTGGCCCTTTAAAAGGAACTGCCAGAGTCTCTAGCAACCTCTGCATCACTCAGCCATAATCCCTGATGGTTTTTATAGCCTGAAATTATGGGGAAGGGTCTGGAGAGAGAAGCCCTGGAACTCTGAGCTAGGGGTCTGCTGTGGGGCTGTGACCCTTTGCTCCTGATGGGAGGCATCCACAGCCAAAATATCCCTCCTGATTGAAAAAAACACCACACGTGGGTATTGACCTGCCCGTTCCAAGCTTCCACCCCTCCTATCTGTCTTGATGTATTTTCTTTACTTCTCTAGCTGTAGGACTTCTTTTAGCTAGATTTCAGGTAGTTCTGAATGATAGTTATTCTATATTTTAGTTGTAATTTTGATATGGTTGTGGAAGGTAGCAAGCATTCCAGACACCTATTGCCACCATGTTGGTTCTCTCCAAAAAGTATCAATTTTTAAAAACTAAAATGAAAACTAAATATTTAAATAACCTAGCATAAAATTTACTTGCATACTGAAAAAGAAACTTTTTTTGGTCTGTTTTTACATTATCAAAACTCTTTAACTTATCTTCACAGAGCTAGAGTTATTAGTTTATATAAATTTATATAAGAAATATGAACATAAGTGGTAAAATACCAATCATAACTTTAGTAGAGATAAATGAAGTTGAATTCATTATTGATCTAACAGGAAAGATTAGTGCCTAAGAAAATAATAAGATAGGAAAGCCTTTAAAAGGCATCAGGCTGATAAAGATAATTATTTTTTGTACCCTTAAAGAAAGTAAATATGGCTCTACTTTATATTGGAGAAAATGAAAGTAATTGTAGAACAAAACATATGGTATAGTAAGGACACAAAAATATTAAAAAATGATTGAGACTTATTACTCCCCAAAGTCTGAACATTAGAATTTGAATTTAGCCAATGAAATTTTCCATATCAGTGGTTACTTGCCAACGTGGGGTGAAGTAAAGTGGAAAAGGCACCAGAAAACCTTTGGGATTGAAGGATATTTTCACTATCATGATGGTGGCAATGGTTTCATGCCTTTTTGTCTATGTCAAAACTTATTGCATTGTAAACTTTAAATATATGCAGCTTATTGGATGTCAGTTATACTTAATAAATATGTTTTTTAAAACTTTCCCCACCCCAAGTACACCCAAATCTGTTAAATTACAGAGTTATATAATTCTTCATTGAGATGTGGATCAAGATCCCTATAAAATGGTCTTACATAATTTCAGAATGAAGACCACCTTATTGATTTCTCACTTTATATAAGTTGTAGACAAAAGCATTTCAGTGAAACACTGGTAAGAATATATATTTCTTAAATAATTGAGAACCAAATGCTAAAGTCAACAAAAAATTAGATATAAATTGCTCTCAAATAAATAACGTATGTTTTATCCTTAAAATGCAATGCTAACCTTTCATCTTGAAACTTTTAAACAGTGCAAGCTAAAACAGATGGTTATCTCCTTAACTTCTAAAATACATTATAATTCTATAAATATCAAATATTACTAATAATGTAATGGTAACATATACATAATGCACATTAAATTGATTTTTTAAAGGCATTCAAATGAATTTAGAGTTACTTCAGAGTCAAAACATCAAATTAATAATGTGTAAGATTAAGGGCAAGAGTATAATTGAAGGTTGGGTAATCACTTTCTTATGAAAGAGTCATGGTTAAGCATTTCTCATGATTTTATATAGTTGGGTGTCAATGTGATATTTAGGTACAAAACTAAATTAAGATATATGAAATCTATAACTAAATAAAATATGGTCTAAAATAAGTTTGCATATGAATAAGATTATTGGTATCTGTAGTGGAAAATGTTTTGAATTTAAAAACTCAACCAATCCTTCTGTTTCTGGCTTCAGAGAGGCTGACTGTGTGAAACTTTGGCACTTACTTTCCAATTGTATTGGGTAACATTGTAAGTTGATTGTCGTCCACTTTCAGAGTAGTTAGTTTTTTCAACAGTCCTAAAACAGAGAAGTTTTATTAATATACAAGAACAGATTTCTGATGGAAAATGCACTATAAAAGAGATAAAATAATTACTTGTGATGAATGTTTGTTATGCTAATTGGCTGCACTCTGCTTATATAAACCTACAAGCTGATATCTGTGTGCAGTCTAGTTTTGACTTTCCAGTTGCAAAAAATTACTTATGTCAACAGGAGTTCAAGTTCATCAATGCAGACAAGTAAACAAAACATAGGGCTCCATAGAAACTTGAGTTGACAGTAATACTGCCACATTTCCATTTTCTGTTATGCAGCAAATGGACCAGATGAAATTTTTCAAGGCAGATGTGACTTAATATTAAATTAACTCCTAAGCACTAATAACTAACATTCCTGTTATCATACAAATGGAAAACAAATCCGAATTAAGCCCAATAATTAACAAATGGGTACTGAATTAGTACAATGCAGTGGTTATAATTATAGACTTGGAAAATTACAACATATGACGTCATACTCTTTTTGTTACCATAAAACCTTGACTTGGATCAGCAGTAAGCACAAAAAGTTGAAAATGTAATACACTATGCAGAATTTGCCAAGAATGAAATTTCAACTCTTTATCTCTGCTGTCTGATTTATGCTTTCCACACCCATATTGCTTGCTCTACTCCCACGGTTTTAATGAATATTAACCACAGAGTAATTGAGAACTACTTCCTTTATCCAGCTATAGCATCTACATTAATAACAGATGAATATGTAAATTGACCATACCTCCACGACACCCCATAACCAATGAGGAGAAAATATGCAAATTAGTGGGACAAAGATGGCGGTGGCCACAGAGCCAGCCAGAGCAGGTGGGAGGCTTGGGTTGCCCCTGGCAACAGAGGAAGCCAAGCTTCCCACCTGCTTGGACTGGCAGCCGAAGGACGGGCCTGTGGGCGGCGACCATGGAGCCGGCCTGGACGCATGGGAGGCTTGGGTTGCCAGGGCCGGCCGCTGAGGGAGGGGCCTACAAATGGCCCAAAGCCCCTCACCCAGGCTGGCCACACCACCATGGGGTGAGGGTCCCCACTGGGGGGTGTGCCCAGCCCCCAAACAGCCTTAGAAGGAAAAGCCTGGCAACCCAGGCTTCCAGCTGGCCCTGGCCTCCACTCAAGGAGGGGCTGGGGGCCTGGGTCACCAGGGGGCGTGGACAGCCTGAAAACAGCCCTCAGCCCCTTACCCAGGCTGGCCAGGCACCCCAGCTGGGACCCCACCCTGAACGGGCTGTGGCCAGCCTGAAAACCACCCTCAGCCCCTTACCAAGGCTGGCCACGACCCCCCAATGGGGACCCTCATCCAATGGGGGCATGGCTGGCCTGCAAACCACCATAAGCCCCTCACTCAGACCGCCCTGTCCCCCAAGGGAACACCCACCCTGATCCGGGACACCCTTCAGGGCAAACCAGCTGGCCCCCACCCATGCACCAGGCCTCTATCTATACTAATAAAAGGGTAATATGCTAATTAGACTGGGAGACCTTCCAGGAGACCTCCCGGACATTCTTCTGGACAAAGCCAGAGGTAGAAGCAGTAAGGGGCCAAGAGGGGAAGGCAGTTGTATATGATCAGGCCAGCAGGGGAGCAGTTGGGGGTGATCAGGCTGGCAGGGGGGAGGCAGTTGGGGGCAAGCTGGTTGGCAGGGGGGCAGTTGGGGGCAAGCAGGCGGGCAGGCAGAGTGGTTAGGGGTAATCAGGCAGGCAGGCAGGTGAGCAGTTAGGAGCCAGCAGTCCGGATTGTGAGAGGGATCCCAGATTGAAAAGGGTGCAGGCAGGGCTGAGGGACACCCCCCCCCCCTCATGCACGAATTTCATGCACTGGGCCACTAGTAACATACAATATCAATATGGCTTAAATAGCCAAAATCCAAGGGCAAAGGATTAATAGCTGGCTAATTTTTTTTGTTTTACATTAGAAATATGCACATATATTCTAGACTACTTGTTTTGCAGAAAACTTGTTCTGATGGTTACGAGTTTGTGTTTGGGAAAAGCCGTTAAGCAAAGTAAAACAGATTTTTTAGTGAAGTTTTTCTAGGAGTTTTTAATATATTACTGTAGCAATGTGTCTGTCCAAAGTTACGGCATTTGTGTATGTACCTGAGGATTATCTCATACAAGCAGTGTTTTGTGAACAGGCTTTGAGAAGATGATGCCCACCTATTGTAAGTATTGTAAGGATTCCGTAAAGGCCTAGAGTAAGTCACAAAAATTCTGAAATAAAGCTGTGGCTGCACTTTAAATTGCAGTATGATCGGTTACACAGTCTTCAGAGGCACTCACAATCTCTACTCTGAGGGAGAGAAATGTGATCCCTGTCAGACTGCTTGGAAAAAATGCCCGTAATATTTAGAGCTTAATACATCAGCTCGTGACCCCAGGACGCAGTACTGAAAACAGCCCAGCATCTGAAAACGAGGACAATGCACATTGGGGTCATTTATCTCTGAAGCTGGGACACCCACAGCCATATTCATCTCTGTTCAAATGGTGACTGAGTCACCTTAGCTTCTCTGGTGTGCTTGTTAAAATATCAACCTTGAACGTGTAAAAGAACTCCTGAGCTTGCTCATCAATTGTGAAAGGAAAACAGGACTATGACTCATAGGTAAATTTTCTATGACTTGTTAACTCTGATCAAACTGGTGGAGCTGGAGGAGGGCTGATTTTCTCAACATCACTTGACGGGGTCACAGGAAGTTTTGGGCTGAGCCAACACCAGGAAGCCAGCTAGGTCTCAAAGCCTTCTTTAAGAGAATTGCAGTCCCCAGGTGTGATGTAGTAGTGAGAAAATTGTGAGTCAGGTTAAGGATTCAGGCCAAAAGATTGATGTAATAGATGTTTCTAAAGAATGGGGGAGTGGCTCTGACAATTGACAGACGTTTCTACAGCTTTGAAAGTAGAAGCAAGTTAGGCCTCCCTGCTTAGTTCCATGTTGGTGAATTGGAACCTCACTCATTTGTGATGTGGTTACTTTGTCACTCATATATTCCATCCAAGAGGCACTTTTTGGACAGATACCGGAGCTTTTGTAGGCACCTGATTGCCCTTGGTATTAGGCCAGTGGCCTCACCATCATTGCTACTCATTATTTTCCTCTGGCAGATAATTCCTTCACTGCATTTCTATATCACATCTGCTTGGACTCTCCTTGTCTACCTTACAGGAACCCAAAGTATTTCATCTTATTCTTTGCCTTCTACCGGCACTCTTCTCCAAGTCCCAACCTCTTTATCCTATATTCCAAACCAGGAAGTACTAAAGAGAAAGAAAAAGGAGGCCTTTTACCATGATTTTAGCTATTAATATGTAATTACTAGTAAATATATTTAAATATTAATGTAATTTATTTAATACTGTAGCTAATACTTACATGAAATTTATACACATGTAATAGAATTTTAAAAGCCTAAATACTGTGCACTCATTCAATCTAAGATTATAATAATAATTATATTATTATAACAGCTAATATTGAGTACTTACTATGTTCCAGGTATTATTGCAAGCAATGTTACATAGATTAATTCATTTATTCTTCAAGGTCACACAGCTAGCAGAAAAGCCAGAATCTGAACTGCTAATTTCCTAGCCTACTTTCTTAAAGGAAGATAGTTTAAGCAAATAATTACAACATATTTTATCTCTTTATGTGATATTTTTATTTCCAGGATTTCTAATTGGTTATATTTTAAAATAACTACCTGTTCTTAGTCATAGCTTCTGTTTTTATTTTATAAGTTATTATTTTGAGACAAACATTTTTCTTCCTTTTATCTATTTGAAGATCTAAACATACTTAAACTCTTTTTTTATATTGCTTGATGACTTCAGTTTCCCTTGGGTAAACTTTCCTACTTGTTTGAATATTCAAATTGCCATAATAATATTAGCTTAAATTTCTTTTGGTTTACATGCTCATTTGTGAGGGTGAATGTATTCTCATTATCTATGCTCACCCCTGCCTGTCTGGCAGTTTCATGATTATCTCCACCTGACCCTCATGTTTCTGGAGTTCAGAACTAGGTCTTACATTAGCAACACGGTGTTCTCATCCCATGTGGATATTGCAAATCTAGTCCAAACCAGCTTGTGACTAGCCACAGTTTCCAGCAGTGAATCTTTATATGTTCTTGCCTTCCACCCTAGCTTCACATATTAGCTGTAGGGTTTTGCAGCAGTCTCTCTTCACAGATAACGGGTTCCTTCTTCAATCTCCTATAAATTTGAGTTCCCTTGTTATGTTTAAGGTCTTTTTTTTTTCACAGCAGGAAAGGAATGTAAGTCTGCCACTGCTGTTTGAGGTCTGGAGTCTCTCAGGCCTGGGGTTACTGGTATGTTTTTATTCTATCTCAGGTTAAGGTGGGTGTTCATTCTTCTTAAGTATGTCTAAATTATTTTATTTTCTGAATATCTGAGGAGCACTTACCATACACCAGTTATAGTTCTTGGTATCAACGAAGCAGTAACGATATGAGTTATTTTTCTATTCTCATTATGTCTTTGAAGAGGTATGAAGTGGTGTTTGAGTAGGAGTGTATCTTGACTGGAGAATGCTCTTTCTACCATTATACTACCTTACCTTCTATTGCACAAAAGAATATTTCCTAAACTTGCTTGATCATAGGTTTGATTTAGGATGTTTAATAAACATACAGATTAGAGGGCTTATCACAAACTTATTGAATAAGAATTTTCAGAGTGAGAGTATGGAAATGTGTAAGTGTTTAATAAAGCACTCAGATAAGTCTTATGACGGAGCAGATTGGAGAAATCTATACTAATAAAAGGGTAATATGCTAATTAGACCAGACATCTTCTGGACATCCATCCAGATGTCCTTCCGGAAAAAGCCATGGTGGCAGGGGCCAAGGCAGAAGCAGTTAGGGGTGATCAGGCTGGCAGGGGAGAGCAGTTAGGGGTGACCAGGTCAGCAGGGGAGGGCATTTAAGGGTGACCAGGCCAGCAGGGGAGGGCAGGTAGGGGTGACCAGGCTGGCAGGCAGAGGCAGGTGACCAGGCAGGCAGGGGAGCAGTTAGGGGAGGCTAGGCCGGCAGGCAGAGGTGGTCAGGGGCTATCAGGCAAGCTGGAAGAGGCAGTTAGGTGCTATCAGGCAGGCAGGGGAGCAGTTAGGAGAGCAGTTAGGGGCATCAGGCAAATAGGCAAAGCGGTTAGGGGTGATCAGGCAGTCAGGTGAGCGGTTAGGAGCCAATGGTCCTGGATTGAGAGAGGGATATCCGACTGCCTAAACCAGCAGTTGGACATTTCCTGAGGGGTCCTGGATTGGAGAGGGTCCAGGCTGGGCTGAGGGACGCTCCCTGCCCTGCCACCCTCATGCATGAATTTTGTGCACAGGGCCTCTAGTAATGTTATAAATATGTGATTATATAAATCAAAAGTCATCAAATTGAGAAGGAAAAGAAAAGCTATCCTGTCTTGTTAAAATTACATTCTCAATTAGCCTGAACATGGAAGTAATAAGATACTAAAGAATAATTTGGGAAACTACCTTGTCTTCTAGCTTCCCTTCAACCAGGCTGTCTCAGTTGTGACTTAATTTTCAGAAGGATTAATAAGTTCCAGAACATATGACATGTTTAATTCAGAGTGTTAAAAACCATATTCCAAAGTTAAGTTATTTGATGATCACCCTACTTGATGAGTTCTCTCATAAATAATAGCAAGATAACTATGCAAAAAATTTACTCATTATTTAAATTAGATTCTTTTATTATTCTACTAATATAAAAATTTAAAACAAAAGTGGATTGAATGCTTAATATATACTAACAAATTATCTGCCCTCATGAATCTCAGCATGTAAAAGACAATATGTCTTTTTAAAATAATAGAAAATAAAATAAAGATATTTTATATTTATTGTATATTTATCTTATTTCTAGATCACAGCAATGTTACAAGAGTATCAAAAATAGATTATAGCTACACTATGTAAATAGAAGCTACTATAATAAAATTATTCTAAATCTAAGATATATATACTCCTTACAATAACATTTTCAGTTAGGAGATCTGAAAAAATTTAAATATATCAATTTAGTAAGATCATTTTCATAAGAGAGCCTTCTTGAATTTGATAACGAGTTACCATCTCATTTTAAGATAACAGTAAAATACTATTTTTCCATCTTGAATAATGAACTTGCTAATTTATTAATATCAAGCTAACAGTATATTCCCCACATCTACAGACAAACTATACTGCCAAGAAAGAAAATTACATATTTGACAAACATTTATGGCAAAATATATTCTCACCTATAGAGTCCGGCAACTGTTGCAACATATTGGATGACAGTAAGAGGTCCTCAAGGGCTTCACATCCGGAAATGTCCATGTCCACTGTTTCTATCCTGTTTTTTGACATATCCAGGTACACCAACATCTTTAACTTCCCTATAGACTTGATGACATTGCATAAACTCAGGGTTAGCTGAGAAACTTTCAAAAGACATTTTAAAGTTGTAAAAACCACAAATTAATTTTAAAAGAAGCTACAACAATAACAAGTGTTGGCAAGAATGTGCAGAAACTATAACGCTTCTACATCACTAGTAGAAACATAAAATGGTGCATCCACTTTGGAAAAAACAGTTTGGCAATTCTTTGAAATGTTAAATTAGAGTTTCTATATGATTCAGTAATCCCTAGGTATGTATTCAAGAATGAAACATATGTCTACACAAAAGCACGAATGTTCGAAGCAGTATCATTCACAATAGCCAAAAAGTGGACACAATCCAACTGTCCATTAATTGACAAATAGATAAATACAATGTGGTATATCTGCATGTGGAAATATTATTTATAAAATAAGTACTGAAACATGCTACAAAATATATGAACCTTGAAAACATATGCAATGAAAGATGCTAGTCACAAAAGTCCACCCATTGTATGATTCCATTATATGGCTATCCAGAATAGACTGACTTAAAGGGAGTAGATAGGGTTGCTAGAGGCTGGGGGAAGAAGGGAGTGGGAGTGACTGCTAATGGCGTCAGGGTTTCTTTTAGAGGTAATGGAAATGTTCTAAATTTAGATTTTGGTGATGACTGCACATCTATATGAGTGTTCTAAAAACCAATGAATTGCATTCTTTAAATGGGCGAATTTTATGATATGTGAATTATATCTCAATACAGCAGTTAAAAACACGCACAGCAATAATCTCAAAGTTGCCACTGAATTAAATAACATGAAGTTGCTACCAGAGCACCATATGTTGACATGTTGACTCTTAAAATTTCAAATGCATAAGAAAGGTTTTACACGGTGCTTTGGACTTTACACTAAGCAGATTCAATATTTTGTTCACTTAACAATACTTTTTGAGGATCTACTGTGAGTTAGGGCTTGTGTTATATACCAGAGAACAACCATGACGAAGTCGGCTAAGGATGGGGAGAGACTGGCCATGATACAGACAAAGCCTTTATCATGAAGGAGCTCAGAGTAATGAAGGAAACCATCAAATAAACGAATGATTATCATACCCTGCGATATGGCACTGAAAAAAGCATGTAGGGAATGCCACAGAAGGATAGGCCTGCAAATTGCCTGGAAGACACTGCTCGTCAAGAAGAGAAGAACCCGTACATGGAAGAGAGAACAGCCCATACATTCCCAGAGGAGTGTGAGAAAGCACGGCATGTTTGCGGAAGGTGAGAAATTCAAAGTGACAGCATATCGTGATGAAGTTAGGATGATAAGAAGCCAGCTGTTAAAAGGCCTTACATGTTACGCGGGGAGATATGCACTCTATCTAACAGGCACGGAAAGCCGTTCAGGGCTTTTCAGATGAAAAATGACATGACTGGACTTGTGCTTGGAAATAATAACTTCAGGGAATTGTAAGGAGAAGATTCGTGACTGGAGTCAGAGTGACTCATCAGGAAGATCTGGAAGCAGTTTAGCGGAGGAGGTGAGAGGGACCTGAATTCATGCAGAAGTGAGGATGAAGGGGCAATGGACTCAAGAGAGATGTCGAAGTGGGATGATTGAGTAACTGATCGCTGAGCAGGGGGCAGGAATCAAGTCAGACCTTGGGCAGAAAGCGAACAGTAATGGCTTAGTAGAGACAATGGACAATGGGACTTCAAGCAAGATGAAAGTCTTAAGTTACCTTGTCTTGCAAATAAATGTCTCACACATATCAGTGTTCAGTGGTTCATCTGCTTAGCCTACCTGTGTACACTTTACTATAGCGTGTCTACTTATTTGAAAAAGTATCAATAACCAAATACAGAAAATAAATTCATTACAAACACAAGCTCACGGCTGGCACTGTGCTAAGTACTTTATATTTATTTTTTGATTTAATACTTTATATTCTTGCCGCTCAAAATGTGCTTCGCAGACCAGCAGCACTGGCGCCACCTGGGGGCTTGTCTGTAATTTGACGCTTAGACCCACTCCAGACCTACGGAGCCAGAATCTGCCCTTTCACTCACATTAAAGCTTAGAGGTTCAGGACTGTTACCCATTGGGTTCCCTGGGAAGCAGAGACAAAGAGAAGCTTATGAGAGAGTGTTCTTAGAGTCAATAACAGTGGGAAGAAAGACGTAAGGAAGGACGTAGGATTGGGCAGATGAAGAAGTTGGGCTGTGATCAGGTCTTGAGGAAGTTTTCAGCTGACCCTTTATGGAGCACTGAAGTGGGAATTGCCTTAAAGTTGTCCTGAGTTGGGTGAAGGGGCCAGGCTTTTACATCCCTACATGGATTGGTCATTGGATGGAGGTCTCCCAGAATAGGGGTGTGACCCTGGGTGAGGAGTTTCTTTTCAGCTGAAGGCAATTCCTGAAGAGGGTGGGGAGCTGCAAGCAGTATTCCCAGAAGCTGGGGAAATAGAGTAAGCTCTTCATTCCAGGAGGGTGATGCAGCATCGACTGCAAGTAACCTTCCAAGGTTATCCCATTATTAAGGGGTAGAGCTAAACTTAAACTCACCTTTATTGGATTACTCACTACAAAGCCTATTGATTATATTGGCAGTTCTGCCCTCTAACTCCCAAAGTAACACAGCACTATGGCTCTAGCCCTGCTCCCTCCACTCCCAACAGTGGAAACAAAGTTAGGAAGTAGGTTAATACTTGCCAGACTAGGAACTGAGTACTTTGGGTGAGTCAGGCCAGAGAGCTGAGCTGCTCCCCATGCCTAGCAATATGTCATTTGGAAAAATACTGTCACTTTACTTACAGCTTTCCACCCCAAGGAACTATTATGTTGCCTTATCTCATTCTTCTCTTCTGGTGAGCAAGGGAAAAATGATATATGTGTTTATGTGTGTGTGTGTATCTTTTGTTCCTTTATTAGGAGCAACTTTCTTCTTTGAAGCTTCTTTCATTGCTATCTCTAGGACAACTCAATATTTTGGTTTAAAGTTTCTAAACATCTTTTAAAAAAAGCAAAACAAAATAATTCTTTGGCGTTTCTTTTTAATTATTCGAAACTCTCACTCTCAAGTACCTTATAAAGGCAATAGTATCTTAGAGTGAAAGAGGTCTTGAGTCCCAGTATCTCAGAGTCCTTGAGGATATGGAGTGTCCCTCCAACAGCCCTTTGGACAGCGAGGCCGTGGTGAACAGTGGAGAGCAAATGGGAAGAGCAGAAGCCATCACAAGCAAAACAAGACATTGAAGTTTGTTTAAAAATAATTGTGGACTCAATACATTGTCTAGTCATATTTTGGTTGATTGATCTCAGAGTGATGGTCACAAGACAGTTACATAGAAGAACAATTTTTCATCATTATCTGTTTGCTTCTCTGATGTATGAAAACTACAGTGGAAAAATGATTCTACAATTATTTAAAAAGTACATTACCTTAACGTATTATGATCGATGAACTAATAAGAAAATAAACTTGCTTTTATTCTTGTGTCTTATGACACTAAATTTTTAGGATTAATCATTCTGTGAAACAGACACATAGGCTGAAAACCACATTCAAGATTAGTCTTTCAAAGTCATGTGCTTCTAGGTAATTGTGTAACAGCTGTTTGCCAGCACTGAAATGAGAAAGCCACACCTGTTTGACAGGGGAGCTGTGGGGTATTTCCACAAGTAGTGTAGCAAAATGTGTAATTCAAGTGTACTCGCTAACATAAGAGATCTGCTTAAAGTTGTTTGATACAAAAAAAAATCTCCTATTGAAACAGACAAATTAAGCAGCATTATCTGTTTTACAGATTTCATATTACCTTGCCATTTAAATAATAAGCTTACTAAGGGATTTGAGATCTGAATTAGTTTGCAAGATTAGATTTTGGGAATGTAAAGATTGTGAAAAGCAAAATAAACCTAATTCTCATTTGTACCTTCTACTAATTCTCTAGCGATAAAACTTGGAACATCATAGTGAACAACAGCCTGGGGAGTTGGTGCGCATTACAGTTCCACCATTTACCGGCTGTGTGACCTTGGGGCAGTCACTTAGTTATTTACTCTTTCCATTTCAGTTTCCTCATCTGTAACAGGGGGATCGTAAAAACCATTTTCATAGTTATTATGAGGATTCAATGAGTCAGTATTTGTAAAACACCTAGATAGATGCCTAGCCCATGATAAATGCTGTGTGTTTTGAATAAATGAATAAACACAGTGAAGAAACATGTAGAAACATCTTGATTCCTCGATCTTGCACAGGAAATTGATGAGGACCTTACCTGTGTTGCCCCAGGATGTGTACATACCTTCAATATGGCACAGATCAGGCTGTACTGTGTGTAGTGGAATCCAGATCTTTCTCTCTGTTATGTGTGAGTGAGCTCCTCAAACAAATATATTCAAGATCATTGAATATATTATCTTTGTAACCTTGACATTAGGATAGTTTCTGGTTCAGACGGGTGTATTTGTAAATGGTTTTTGAATAACAATAAATAGGAGATATGCATGCTTTTTTGGTTTGTGTCTGCGATGATGGCAGAAATGTATTTTTCGATAAGAAAAGAAAGCATTTTCGCCCTAATCTTTTGGCAGATTTTCTCCTTTATGTGGTCTCAGGCTTGTTCAAAAGAGAATAAGCTTCTTGTTCCTGTTGCTTTTGTAATCATTTAAAGAAATCTTCAATGTCAATTCAAAAGAGGAATAAAATTGGCTTCGGGAACGTGCAGCTAAATCTCAGTGGTGGAAGAAGGATTATGAATCTTCTGCCCTGGCTAATTAGCCTAATGGAGGAAGTTTGGAGTTGGCTATCACCACTGGGAGCCTTGTGGCTGCTGTGTGTGTGTACACATGCTTATTTTAAAAATATATTTTTGTTGATTTTAGAGAGGAAGCGGGGGTGGGGAGGATGGGGAGGAGAGAGAGATAGAAATATCAATGATGAGAGAGAATCATTGATTGGCTGCCTTCTGCACACCTGGGGATTGAGCCTGCAGCCCAGGCATGTGCCCTGACCAGGAATCAGAAGAGAATCGTGACCTCCTGGTTCATAGGTGGATGGATGCTCAACCACTGAGCCACGCTGGCCAGCCTACACATGCTTATTTGAATGTATGCATTGTGATAGGCAGAGGCAATGTTTTATCGAAAGTCATTCTTTCACTGGATGGAAAAGGAAGGAATAGTCACACTAGATGAGTTGGTTGGCAAATCTGCTCAGGAGACACTGGACAGCCCATTAATTGAGGGAAAAATTTGACTATAATTTTACTTTCTGGTGTTACACTGTATAATCCTTGCCATTTTAAAAAAATTCAAATGGGTTTTACTAAATATCACCTGAACTAAGAAAGATTTTTTTATTTTGTGGAAGAGATCTAACAATATGATCAGAAACCATTTTCTAATTACCAAGAAGAATAAGGATGATTGCACAAAACAAAGAGTTGGTGTTGTATATGGCATTTCTGTTTTTACAATATAACAATATAAAATTTAAAGATAACACATGCAGAAAGAGATGACAAATATACTCCTAAGAGAACAAGAGAAGTCTTTTATACATTTTACATACCTGTAACAGCCATGAAGGGTACATGAAATGCTTAAAAACAAGTTACTGAGAAACACTTGGTAACTGAACACTCCTAACAAATGTTTTACTACTTTGAAATGCAAACACTGAGATTTAACAGTATCTTCAATTGCAGTTAGTATATAACACAGATGCTGGACAACATGGTATAATAAAACTTACATACCCCAGGTAGCACTTGCAATGCGTTATTATCCATCCACAACTCCCTTAAATTTTGTATTTGATCCAGAACTTCAGGCTGGGAGAGAAGTGGGAAGAAAGGAAAGAGGAGAAGAAACCAAATTAATCTTTTCTTATTACAGTATAAGGTATAATTTCTTGGTCTGGAACTTATATTTGGGAATCTAATGTTAATCCTCTAAGAAATTCCAAATTTAACAAACCTTTAGCAAAACTGGTGGTCCCCAAGTTAGCCAACCTAGAATTAATCTGAAAACAATCAGAACGACCTTTAAAAAACATGCTGCTGGGTATCAGTATGAAATTGCCTCCCCAGGAGAGTTGTGTGTTTCACATATTAGTTCTTTTTTAAAAAATATTTTTTATTGATTTCAGGGAGAGGGAGAGAGAAAATGATGAGAGTCACCTGCTGAGGATTGGGCCTACAACTCAGACATGCGCCCTGACTGGGAATCGAACCTGGTTCATAGGTTGATGCTCAACCACTGAGCCACACTGGCTGGGCTCACATTCTAGTTCTTAATACACAGACAATTGCATTTTTTATTTAATCAAACTGCTTACCTGAATTCTAAAAAAAAATAAAAATGTATTCTCCTTTAACACCCTATAATTATCATTTGGAGCATTTATTACACTCTATTCAATAAGTGCATTGTTTCTGTGCACAGGTGGGGTCCGGTTGGCCACCCTGATGGGGGCCCATTGGGCCAGGCTGCAGGGGGAGGGATAACGAGCGGTTGGCTCCTGATTGGGTGGGAGGGCAGTAGGGGGTGGTGCCAGCCAGGGGGAGGGGCTGTGGGAAGTTGGCCAGCTAGCCCTGCCCTCAATTGGGGTGTTGGGAGCTAATTGGGAGCAGGGTTGGCTGGGGGGCGGGGATCGGGGCACAGATCAGGCTGGTTGGCTGCCTCAGTGTGCATCATAGCCATCGGTTGTTCCGGTTGTTCTGGTTGTTCCGCCAGTCCAGTCACTGGACTTTTATATATATAGAAAAGCTTTTGAAGGGCAGAAAAATATTTGTTTTTTAATCATTACAACCTCATATCCCCATTTGCCACAGTACCAGACACACAGTAGGTTTTTATCATATGTGTTAGTGCCTTACATACTCCCCTCCAGGAATTACATTACCATGAGGTGATGACAATATGAATAAGACGCACTCATTTTTTAAAATTAATCTTTATTGTTGAGATTATTATAGATGTTCCTCTTTTCCTCCCCATAGCTCCCCTCCACCGGGTTCCCACCCCACCCCAGGCCCTCGTCACCCTATTGTCTGTGTCCATAGGTATTGCCTACATGCATATAAGATCTTTGACTAATCATTTCCCACACCCCCTTCTCTCTGAGAATCATCAGTCTATTCCATTTCCATGCCCCTGATTCTATTCCATCCACCAGTTTATCCTGTTCATTAGATTTTTTAAAAATTAAATCTTTATTGTTCAGATTATTACAGTTGTTCCTCTTTTTTCCCCTCATAGCTCCCCTCCACCCGGTTCCTACCTCACTCTCTGCCCTTACTCCCTCCCCCTCCCACTGTCCTCATCCATAGGTATATGATTTTTTTCCAGTCTCTTCCCACACCCTCACACCCCTTTCCCCCCAAGAATTGTCAGTCCACTCCCTTTCTATGCCCCTGATTCTATTATATTCACCAGTTTATTCTGTTGGTCAGATTTTTTATTCACTTGATTTTTAAATTCACTTGTTGATAGATATGTATTTGTTATTAATAATTTTTATCTTTACCTTTTTCTTCTTCTTCCTCTTCTTACAGGATACCTTTCAGCATTTCATATAATACTGGTTTGGTTGTGATAAACTCCTTTAG